ACTCTAACCCTGATGCCCTGGTCATCCTAGGGCCCTTAGCCAAGCCTCAAAAGGAGGTACCAGGGACTGTGCCCATCAGCCCTGCCCTCCTCTTCAGTGGCTGCGCTGGGGAGCTGCGTGCTAGGGAGCAGTGCAGGGCTACCTCAGCCTGTCCAAGGCCTCCGCAAGTGTTTCTTCAGCGACATGGAGTCCGGAATTGCTCGAGCACCACGGGCTCACGGGGGGACCAGCCTGAGGAGTAGGTGGGGAATAGGCGGCAGGACCCTGGGGGAGCTGGGCAGGCCCGTCCTTCACTTTGCCGTCTCTTTCTGTTGGGCTTCTCCCAGTTCATGGTTTTTGTATGTTCTGTTTCTTTATCTTGCTTCCTGCTGCTCATGTGCCCCGCGCTGTCTCCCTGCAGGCTCTCAGTCCCACATAACTATATGAGGTTGAGTTGCTGTTTGTATAATTTTTTCTTAAGTTCCATCTTTATTATATTTTAGGGCCCAGGGATCATCCTGATATTGTTGATTCATTTATGCAACTCCTGGCACAGGTGTGTTTTAGTTTTATTCATTCACGTTCTGTTCTCTCTCTTTCTCTTTCTCTTATGTTGAAATTCAATTTAAGCCTATTTTTAGCTTTCTGTTGACAAGTTTTTTTTTTCTGTTCAGTTGAATAGAGTTTCTTCATCTGTTTCCGTGGAAGTTGACAACCCAGCATCCTCCTTTAGAGCCCCTTTGCCTCAACTAGCAGAGTCTCCCACAAAGACCAGGGAGAGGCTGATCCGAAGGGAGGGAGCTGGGCTGGCCTGGGGCACTGGGGAAGGACGGGGGCGCTAACTGTGCCCAGCAGCTCCTGAGTGGCTGACTTGCCCAAGAAGCTCAGGGTAGGGCTGGAGTCGAAGGGCCTGGGGTTCACTGTCCCCGTGCTCCTGCCGGGAACTGCCTGCCTCAGTGCCCTCAGCCTGCTCCTGAGAAGTAGGCTGGGAGCAGCTCCAAGAGGAGGGGCTGACAATGAGTGTGCAAGGCAGAGCCCAGGGTCGGGCCATGGGGAGGTTGTGCTGCAGCCGGGTGGAGCGGAGGGGCGCAGACTCTACAGCGAGCCCACGCTAGGATGTGTTTGCGATTGGTATGTGTTTAAGCATGTTGCACCCTCTTGTATGTTTTGAGTTTGGTTTGGGAAAGGAGCAGAAATCAGCTGGTGCTGCTGTGAGTCTGTGCGTGTTGCGTAGGGTGTTGGGGTAAGTGTGTTAAGTGTGTTCGCTGACACGTGTGGGTGTGTGGGGCTGTGGGGGAGGATGAGGAGTGTGTGGTGGCATTGGTATGTCTAGAGTACAAATGTGTTGGGCTCCTGGGTGTGTGGAGTTAGTGTGGTGGGGTTCTGTGTGTTAGGGAGTCCCAGTGGGTTGTGGGGTGGGGTGAGGGGCCCTGTGAGTTGGGGTAAATGGAGTGCTTCTTTGCTTAATCATTCCATAGATATTCTGAATGTGTCATCCATGCTTGGCACTAGGCCAGGTGCTGCTGAGGGTGTAAGGGTGAGCTAAAGCAGGCACGGTCCTTGGTCTCTCGAACCTAGAGTCTAGTTGGGAGGGGCAGGAGGCATGAGGAATGAGGCCTGGATGGATGTGTGTGTGTGTGTATGTGTGTGTGTGTGGCAGCTGCAAGGGTGTGCCTTGAGTGTGCATTTCTGGATGGGTGTGTTGGAAGGGTGTCCATGTACTGGAGGACTGTGGGTAGGTTGAAGGTGTGGGTGTATTGACACAGTTTGGGGATGTAGGATGCTAGGGTGCATGGCGAGTGTGTGTGGTCAACATGGGAAAGTGTGTGTGAGAGGTGCCTTTCAGGTGGGGTGCATGTCGGGGTATTGGCACCTGAGTAAACATGGAGGGTAGAAGGTATACGAGGGGCTGGAGGGTGTGCGCTGGGCTGTTGCTGGGGAGCAGCAGGGTTCGAGGACTGCTGCTGCAGCTGTGCGGAGCATCTCCTGTGACCTGAGGATGTGCCACTCATGTCCTGGTACCACTTGGGCCAGGCCACCTGCCCCTTCACCCCGTTCGCTCCACACCCTCCACTCTGTGGTAGCCCTGGCTCCTGGGGTGGGTATGGCTGAGAGGAGCCTGGACACAGGATGTCCTGGGGGAAAGGTGGGGCCGGGGCTCCAGGGCTCCTGTCCGGCTTTTCCTCTCCCTGAGAGGAGCTGGAGGGTGCCTGAGGACTGCAGGCAGAATACAGGAGGAGGGCTGTCGGGCCGAGATCTCCATGTCCAGCTGCCACTTCTCCTTCCTGCTGCCCTGTCCACACACCCAGGGGCCTTAGCTGCCTCTTGAATCAAAGTGAAGTCAGTGCTGGCTACCTGGAGCCTGCAGGAAGTCTGGCCCTGATAGAGGGGGAGAAGGAAGGTGTTTGCTCAGGGAGTGACTTGGGGCCCAGACTTTCTGCGTTATGCTCCCCGATCTCCAACCTCTCTCACACACACACCTGTGCATTCAGGTACACATACTTGTCTCTAGATCCCTTGGGCTGCTCTTTATTTGACCAGCTGGACTCTGGGGGTGGTCTGGGTCCCCCAGAGTTGGCGGGGTGGCTGGTTTTGGCGGCCTTTACCTGTGGTGTGGAGTTGGGGGCTGGGGTGGCAGGTGAGTGGGGGGGATGGTCCTTGGAGCTGGCTGGGGCTGGGCTTACCAGCTCCACCTCCTGCAGGCTCTGAAGCGGAAGCCAGATTTGTTCCTGTGTGAACGATTGGATGTCAAAGCTGTGTTCCAGTGTGGTAAGTGGGGCCGGGAGGACAGGTGGGCCTGGGGCTCCCCTCGGAGGATCCTTAGGCCCCACCTGATCTGCCTCTTCCTCTCCTGCAGCTGTGCTGGCCCTCAAGTTTCCCGAGGCACCTACTGTCAAGGCCTCCTGTGGCTTCTTTGTGAGTTGCAAGCAGACCCCTGACTCCTCACCACCTCTGTGGCCTGCCCTGCCCGGGACTCAGCGGTCGACGTTTGCAGGTCCAGTCCTCAGGGAGAGGCGGGAAGGAGCTGGGGCTGATGGGTCTCTCTGTCCTCTGCAGACAGAGCTGCTGCCTCGGTGTGGGGAAGTAGAATCCGTGGGGAAAGTGGTGCAGGAGGACGGCCGTATGCTGCTCATAGCAGTGCTGGAGGTGAACGGGGGCAGGTGGATGTTTGATCAGGGCAGGGTGGGGTGGGGAGAGGGGTTGGCTCTTACTGCTGGGGCAGCTGGCTTTCTGGGAATCGTAAACCTGTAGGTCCCTAAGCTCTTGGACTCTGTTTCTTCCTCAATTAAATGGCTGGCAGTTATCAAGGCTGCTGTGAGGATCAGCTGGCTCTCCAGAAGCAGCGCTCACTTGTGATGTGCGGTGTGGCTCAGGAACTATTCTGGAGGGCCCGGGGGCATGGTTAGGCCTCCTTGCTGCGGAAGGGACAAGGCCCCAGTGTGCTGAGAACCCCTCTCCCTCAGGCCATCGGGGGCCAGGCCTCCCGCAGCCTCATGGACTGCTTTGCCGACATCCTGTTTGCCCTGAACAAGCACTGCTTCAGCCTCCTGAGCATGTGGATCAAGGAGGCACTGCAGCCCCCTGGCTTTCCCTCTGCCCGCCTCAGCCCGGAACAGAAGGACACCTTCAGCCAGCAGATCCTTCGGTGAGCGGAGCTGGGGTGGGCCTGGGTGTGGGTGGGGAAGAGGCGGTGGGCGGTGCTCACCTGCTCTCCTCTCCCTCCCTCCCTCAGCGAGCGAGTGAACAAGAGGCGAGTGAAGGAGATGGTGAAGGAGTTCACACTGCTGTGCCGGGGGCTGCATGGCACAGACTACACAGCTGACTACTGAGCGGTGCCCCCTTCCCACCCACCTCTTCACCTCACCCCTCCCTATGCCCAAAGAGTAAATGTGGACCCTCACTGCTGCCTCTGCTTCCTTCCTGCTGCCGCCATCATGTAAAGAGAAGCCTGGGCCCAGAAGGACTGAGGGCAAGACGGGAGGATGTTGGGCCCAGGCGTTGGGAGGGAGTGCCCGAGAGGAAGTGAGGTGTGTGCTCACCCTCTAGTTCCTAGGGCACAGGAGGTACTGCTGTAGCCAAGCCGTTGCCCTTGGGGTGAGATGTGGAGGGGAGAGGCTGTGGTATTACCAGCCACCCCCCAACATCCATTTGGCTAGTCCCAAGGCACATGCGTGGATATGTTTATTTAATCAACAGTGCTGAGTACTAGACCCCTAGCTGTGTCCTGTACAAAAGCTGACGTAGTCCGTGATCACCATAGTAAGCTGGGAGAATGGTGAGAGAAGGGCTGCATGGAGGAAGTTTCATTTCTGGTGGGAATAGAAGTCTTCCTAGATCCATTCTTGAAGAATTGGGCTGGAAGTGGGTGGCTCTGTGTCCAGTTGGGAGGGGAGAAACAGAGTGGGGCTTTGAGTTCCAGAATGGGTTTCTGGCATGGGTTACACCAATCACACAGTTGACGAGGACTACAGAAAGTGGGGCTGAGTGTACATGGGAGAGAAGGCATCACAGCCCCCAGAGGAGGAGGACAGCAGGACCTGGTGTTGTCTGTGAACCTGAAGCTCCCCGCTTCTCTGGGATACCCAGTGCAGATGGGCAGAGCTTGGTCAGGACCAGGGACAGCGCCCGCGCTGCCCTTGCTTTCCTCCCTCAGCGTAGTCTCCCTTCTGTCTCCTTGGCCATGCTTTCATCTGGGCTGCCTCAGGCACCCCAGCCTTCTCCAAGATTTGAAGAAAAGGACAGGTCTCCCCACTCCTGAGTCCCCTTGAACGAATGGGAGAACTGATTACTCCTACATGCATCCCACACTTTCCCTTTTCCCAACTTTTCCCTGAGTTCCCTGTCTCCATTCTTCCTCATTCAACCTTTTCCCCCACCAGCCAGCTTAAGTCCCACTCCATCATCTACAATCTCCTGAAGCCACCCTGTCCCCTTCTCCTGCCTCTTTTTTTTTTTTTTTTTAAGATTTTATTTATTTATTTGAAAGAGTTACACAGAGAAGGAGGAGCAGAGAGAGAGAGAGGTCTTCCATCTGCTGGTTCACTCCCCAATGTGGCCAGAGCTGCGCTGATCCAAAGCCAGGAGCCAGGAGCTTCTTCCAGGTCTCCCACACAGGTGCAGGGGCCCAAGGACTTGGGCCATCTTCCACTGCTTTCCCAGGCCATAGCAGAGAGCTGGATCTGAAGTGGGGCAGCCGGGACTCAAACCAGTGCCCATATGGAATGCCGGCACTGCAGACAGCGGCTTTACCCACTACGCCACTGCGCTGGCCCCCCCACCTCCTCTTATGTCCTGTTCTTACCTTACTCTTGATTTCTCACCTCTTGGGGTATGTGGAGATGTTTTACTTTTAGTCCTTTCTTATTACACAGTATCAAGATTTCTTCTGCCTTCTACCCCCAACCACGGGAGCAAATATAACAGAAGAGAGGAGAATGCAGGAGAGGTCTAAAGCCCAGCTTCTGAAACAGTAGACCTGTTTGATGCTGACTGTGGCACTGGCATGCAGTGTCTTAGTGGCCAAGTGGTCCCTTCACACCCTTTTTCTTGTCTAAGATGGGATAATTCTTCCTCCACAGGCTGTAAGTGCTAACAATGTCATCCCTGGTGAGCAGTAGGTGCTCAGTGTTTTCCTGATTGACAGGCTGCTATGAGGGTCTTAGCAGATGCTTTTACTGATACATGGGGGGCTACCTTGTGATGTTTTCCATACAAGTTTAATTTGAGCATCACAACAGTCCTCTTAAAAAGTCCTTTTGTTTTGTTTTGCATGTCGGGGAATAAGCCCTGACTTTATTATTTATGTCTTGTTAGCCACAGAAAAACTGGAGTGGGGGAGAGAAGTGGAACAAAAATCCAGTGACCTGTTAGCTCTGTGTGTGTGCAGGTCTGGAAAGGTTTTGTGTCTCGACAGCGACCTCAGAGTGGAAGCCAAACACCTGAATCCAGATTGACATCAAAACATAAGCTCAGCTTCTTTCTTTTGTAGTCTTAATGCTCTCCTGACATCAAACTCTCATTTGCAGTCCTGGGATCTTTCACACACGTTTTTAATTAATTTTTTTTTAATCTAAGGAAATACTAATGCTAACACTCCACCACCAACACCACTCTGCAGATCAGGAAAAGGATAGAGACATTTCTGAGTTACTCCATAATAGGCGGCCAAGCGCAACATTGAAACCCATGCAGTTGGGTGCCGCGTTAGGAACGCAGTGCTACCTCGCCGGTGAGAGGGTCAGTGATAGCAAATAGGGCCTGCTCAAGTTGGGGTATTGTTTATTTGCGAGGCAAAAAGGAGGAGCGGTTCACTTGGTGCAGGAATTTTTGGAGAGTCCGCGTTCTGGGGACCTGCCCTTGGGACTGGCGACCCGGGGAACTACAAGACCCACAAGGCTTCGCGCCTTCCTCTGCGGCTCTACCGAGGCTTGGACCGATCATTGGCTCTCCGTGTTCGGCTCGGTGGCAGGGATTGGAGGGAGAGAGCCACGCTGCTTTGGGATTGGTAAGATTGCTGTCGGCCACGCCTCCAAATTCCGGAAGTAGCCTCCGCGTGTAGGCCCCATGCGCAGTGGAGAAGGCGAGTTTGGCAGAGTGGAAGTGTGGTGCGTGGGCCGCGGATAGCCTGTGATTCCACCTCCGTCCACGAAGTGACTCTGACTGTTTGAGGGCCCCGGAGCTGGCCGAGGGAAGTCCCCGCTGCATCTCGCCACCCAGGCTGTTGCTTCATGGAGACTACTTTCAGCAGCCCCGCGGAGGCGGCGCTGCAGCGGGAGGCGGGCGCCCCGGGAGTGCTCACTCCCATCGCCGACCTCGACCGAGTCTACGAGCTGGAGCGAGTCGTGGGATTTGTCCGCGACCTGGGGAGTCAGCGGGTGAGAGCGGGCGCAGGGCGGGGTGGCTCACCCGTCTGGGGATCAGGGTCCTGTGGGGTTTTGTGCAGACAGCGGGTGGGAGAGTCGGTCGGCCGCAGTGCGCGGGCCACCCCTGACCCTCTCCGTGGGCGGAGTGCCCCTCTGGGAGCACGGGCTTTGAAAGCTGAGTGGGGGCTCCGGTGAGGGAGCGGCCGTGCCCGACTCCACGGCTTATATTACAGGTGGCCTTGCAGTTCCCTGACCACCTCCTGGGGGACGCCGGGGCTGTGGCTGCACGACTGGAGGAGGCCACGGGGTCCAAGATGTTCATTCTGGGGGATACGGCCTATGGCAGGTGCGGCTTGGGGCTTACGTGGGCTGTGCATCCTGGGATCTCGCTCATATGACAGTGTCTGCCTCCAGTGGTGTGTTTCTTTGTGAGAGTGTCCTCCCGATGTTAGCTCCCCGCGGTGGCGTTGTCCCCCCGTTCACAACACCGCTTCCGGCGCTGATCACATTTCCCATTGGTGAGAGCAGCTCCGCTCACTGATGGTCTCTCCCCTGCAGCTGCTGCGTGGACGTGCTGGGTGCCGAGCAAGCTGGGGCTCAGGCCCTTGTACACTTTGGCCCTGCCTGCTTGAGCCCCCCATCCCGCCCGCTGCCCATCACCTTCGTCCTTGGTCAGCGTTCCGTGGCCTTGGAGCTCTGTGCCAAGGCTTTTGAAGCCCAGAACCCAGACCCCACAGTGCCCGTGGCACTGCTGAGTGAGCCGGCCTGCGCACACGCCATGGGTGAGGGGTTTTGCCTGTGTGTGCTGGAAGGAAGGGTGGGCCTGTTGCCTTGTGCGCTAATTTCCCGGTTCTCTAGTATACAGACGTCTTGTGATGGGTGCTCGGCCCCAGCCTTTCCTTTGGGGGTCACATTTGGTCTCCTGGGGAGGAGGAGCTCCTGTTTTGCCAAGCCCCGACTTGTGACGCCGTCTTCCCTGTCTTCCAGAGGCCTTGGCCACTCTCCTGCGCCCACGCTACCTGGACCTGCTAGTTTCCAGCCCAGCTCTCCCCCTGCCAGCGGGGTCCCTCAGGCCAGAGCCAGAGCCCCTGGAGCGTTTTGGGCGCCGCTTCCCCCTGGCCCCAGGGAGGTGCCTGGAAGAGTATGGGGCTTTCTACGTGGGAGGCTCTGAGGCCAGCTCTGACCCCGACCTTGATCCGGACCTGAGCCGGCTGCTCTTGGGATGGGCACCAGAGCGGCCCTTCTTCTCTTGCTGCCCAGACACAGGGCGGACTCAGGATGAGGGTGCCCGGGCTGGGCGTCTGAGGGCACGAAGACGCTATCTGGTAGAAAGAGCTCGAGATGCCCGTGTGGTGGGGCTGCTGGCGGGCACGCTGGGTGTGGCCCGGCACCGTGAGGCCCTGGCACACCTTCAGAAGCTGACACAGGCTGCTGGCAAGCGTAGCTACGTGTTGGCCCTGGGGCGACCCACCCCTGCCAAGCTCGCCAACTTCCCTGAGATGGACATCTTTGTGCTGTTGGCCTGTCCCCTGGGTGCCCTGGCCCCCCAGCCTTCTGGTGGCTTCTTCCGGCCCGTCTTGGCACCCTGTGAGCTGGAGGCTGCCTGCAACCCTGCCTGGCCACCTCCAGGCCTGGCTCCCCACCTCACTCATTACGCGGACTTACTGCCCGGTGAGTGATGGGGCGCTGCCCGGGCTGAGGTGGGGACTCCGGGCGTGGAGTCGGGGCCGGTGTGCATTTTCTTCCTCATTCCCTTTCAGGCTCTCCCTTCCACGTGCCCCTCCCGCCACCTGAGTCTGAGTTGTGGGACACCCCAGATGTGTCGCTCATTTCTGGGGAGCTGCGGCCCCCACCTGCCTGGAAGTCACCCGATGAGCCCGGATGCTCGGCCCTGACCCCTCGGCCTCAGCTGGAGCTGGCCGAGAGCAGCCCTGCAGGTGAGTGTGCAGGTCAGCAGCCCCAGCCAGCTCCTCCGGCAGGTTCAGCCCACCCAGCCTGAGCCGCCTTCCTCTACAGCCTCATTCCTTAGTTCCCGGAGCTGGCAGGGGCTGGAGCCGCGCCTGGGTGAGACGCCAGTGACCGGAGCTGTGAGCGGAAGACGCGGGATCGCCATCGCTTACGAGGATGAGGGAAGCAGCTGATAGCACACGGGGCCAGAGATGCACGTGGACCTGTGGATCGCTGCGCGGGCCTTCAGCGCTCCCCGCAGCAGGTGCCTGTCGTCCTGCCTACATCCTTGAAGAAGCCTGAAGGGAGGGAGGGCAGAGGCGGCCTCTCGCCAGGGACAGGCTCTGTGCCCGTCCTGCCAGGCGCCGGCCCAGGGCCCAGCATGCACTGGTTCGGGGAATGCCTGTCAGACTGAGTGGGGAAAGGGAGCGCGGGCCTTCCTGAGGCCCGAGCCCATCAGTCCTGGAACAGCCGGGGGCCTGTGAAAGGTACTAGAAGCCGTAGGCCTGGCTCTTTCAGCCTCAGCATGTTGACATTTGGGGCCAGGTGATTCCTTACGGTGGTGTCTGTGCTGTGTTTAGCAGCAGCACGTCCCCATCCCCCACCCCGCCTGGGACAACCAAGCATGTCTCCAGAGAATGGTGAATGGCCCGCGGGGGGCAGCACAGCCCCTGGGTGAGAACCGCTGCAGACCCGCGTGCTCGAGCTTCAGTCAGGTTCCGAGCTCAGTTTCTTGGCCACACTCAGGTGCTGAGTGGCCACGGCAGGGGACAGCGCAGCCAGAGGACACTTCCGCACCACAGAGAGTTCAGCCGGACAGAGCTGGTCTGTACCGACTCAGGTTTGCTTCTCAGGGAGACCACAGAAACTCAAATAAAGCAAATACTCTGTCTGCTTCTGCTCCTTTTAATTCATCAAACACGGCAGGCCCGGTGGATGGACATGTGAATTGTATTTAGCCAGATCCTATGCTCACCGTGTGGCTGGGGGGAAGAACGGTTAAGTCGCCATCCCCACACGGTGAAGTGGTTGCACCTTGAGGGGGGAAGCCCCAGGGCAGCTCTGTTCCCCCAAGCACCTGAGTGGCACTCCGAGGAACCTTCCAAGAGGCTACTTGTCCTAAGCTGGATCTTTTTTCCCTTTCTTTCAAGATTTATGTATTTGTTTGAAAGGCAGCAGGACAAGAGGAACAGGAGAGACAGAGCTCTTCGTCTGCTGCTTCACTTCCCAAATGGCTGCAACAGCCAGGTTTGGGCCAGGCCTAAGCTGAAACCCAGAAACTCCATCCAGGCATGCCACATAGGTGGTAGGGTTCCCAGTACTAGGGCCATCACCCACTCATTGCCTTCACAGGTGCAGTAGCAGGTAGCTGGATTGGAAACAGAGCAGCTGGGTCCTGAAGTGGGGCTCCAGTAGGGATTGGTGGCACGGCAGGCAGTGGCTTAACCCACTGCACCATGATGTTGTCCTTTCTAAGCTGAATCATGTAGAGGGAGGAAAAAAAAAAAAAAACTCAAGAGAAAAAGCATGGAAAGTATGCTTGGGCTAAGACACAGGCAGGAACCAGCATGGTGGGTGTTTTCAAGCAAAGTCTGGTTACTGGGCCTTAAAGGTTGAGGGGTGTAGTAAAGAGACTCCCCTGTTCATTCCTCTGCGTTTGCTGAGAATCTTGTCCTGTCAGTATTGTCAGGGAGTTGACGGCACAGGTTAGCAAAGGAGCTGTGACTGCCTGCCCTTGGGGAGGACCCAGAGGCAGAGCTATAAACTGACTGTGGTAAGCCGGGCAAGGTAGTTACCAATCCTGTATTCTAGAAATAGCACTGGGAACCCACTCTGCTTGCCACTGGAAATACAGCAGTGAGCAAGACAGAAATCTTGGTCTTTATACTCTGACCAAGGGGTGTAGGCAAACAAAGCCTGTTTGCCGAGTGGCAAGGGAAGTAACCGGGAAGAAGCTTCAGGGACTGTGTCCAGAGTGCACAGTTTGAGTCCCGGCTGCTCTCTTCCCATCCAGCTCCCTGCGGATGCACACCCTGGGAGGCAGCAGAGGGGGTGGCTCCGTCACCCGGGTCCCTGCCACCTGGATTGAGCTCTGGGCTCTTGGCTTCAGCCTGGCCCAGTCCCACAGTGCATCACGTGAACTTGACCTCTCCATCTGTCTACCTTTGCCGTAACATTTTTAAAAATGAAAAAGGAGCGTTTATGAGGGAGGGGGTTACAATATTAAACAGAATGGTCAGTGAAGACCTTATAAGGAATGTGAGCAAAGGCTGAATGGAAGTTGCAGAGGGCGCCACATGGTTGGTCAGGAGCTGCAGAGTTCAAGGGCAGGGAGGTGACGCGGCTGGAACAGCGAGGAAGGCAGTGCCGCCGGCGCAGTTGCTCGGGGAGCACTAGGTGAAGCCAGGTAGAGTGCACAGCGGCTGCATCTGAGGCCCTGGTGCGCCTCTGAGGACTTTTTAAATTGGGGGTCTCAATAGCTGGGACTTCAGCAACTCCGGGCGGCAGCTTGGGGTCGACCCCCAAGGACTCTGGCTGAGATTCTGAGAGAAATGGGAACCGTGGGGTATTTAAATAGGGGACCGACGTGACCTTACTGAAGTTTTGTAAGGCTCACGGGCCTCGTGGAAACCACGGCAGCTACACTACCTGCCTCTGGGTTAGGGAAGTCTTGCCGGAAGACTGGCTTTGGGGCTCAGCCAGGCAACGGGACGCGCACAAGGAAGGAAACGGCATTCGCTAGGCGAGGAAGAGAGCACGGCACCCTCCGGGAACTGGGTGGTACGCAGGGCGAGCACAAACGCGGCCCAAGACTTAAACCAGGAGTCCGCACACAGAACCCGGGACAAAGCAGGGCTGCTGCGGCCGGCCGCAAGCCTCTACACTCAGCCGGCACCGCGCCGGGGCCGTCTCCGAGATGTGGGACTACAACTCCCACAATCCTCAGCGCCTGCAGTTCCGGCGTCGTGCTCCGGACTGGCAGCGCCGCCGCGCAGAGCCTGGCCAGGGTCACGTGGTGCTCGCGCATCACGTGGGCAGGTCAGGTGACGCTGCGGGGCGGGCGGACGGACTGCGGGGTGGAAGGTGGACGCAGGGACGCGGATCTAGCTCTGGCCCCGCCGCCGATCCGACCCCCAGTGTCGTTACCGCCATGACGGGGCTAGCACTGCTCTACTCCGGGGTCTTCGTGGCCTTCTGGGCCTGCGCGCTAGTCGTGGGTGAGGCGGGGGTCCCGGCGGGCGGGGGCAGCCGCGGGGCTGAGCCGGAGCGTAGCGGAGCAAGTGGGGTGCCGGGAATGCCGGGCCCCAGCGCAGGCTCTGTAGCCTGGGCTGCGGTGCTGGCCGCACGTCTGTTGGGGCCTCTTATCCCCAGCAGAGGAGCCGCATCCCCAGCTGCTGGAGGAGGGGCGCAGGCGGCGGAGGGTGGGGGCCGCGAGAGCAGCAGTCGTCCCCTTCTGTCACCACGGCCATCGCCCTCAGCTCATCGCTGACGGCCCTTTCTTGCTCCTGACCAGCCTGCTTCGGTCAGGAGCCGGCCGTTCCAGTTCCTCTTTCCCCGGCGCTGTTGCCTCCCCCACTCCACCCTCAGCTTGTTGGGCAAACAGCGGCGCGCACTGGGCCGGCGGGATCTGGCGGGACCTGGACCGCAGCACCTGCTCGCTCCCTCCCTTCCTCCGGGTTATTCCGGCCTGCTGGGGGCGTGTCTTTGGAGGGTCTGGGTCTGGAACGGGTGTCCTGGAGGGAGCTCTGTGCCCGGGGGAGTCTCAGAAAGTGGAGGCCTGGGCAGAGCAGTCTGCGGACAGCAGCGCTTCGTGGGGCACCGGCCGGAGGCATCTGCCTTGACCCGGGCCGCCTACACCTTTAGGGAGTGGCCCTTCAGCCCGGCGGCGGCTTCTCCATTTGGGGGACTTCTCTCTGGAGAGCAGCCCCTGACCCCGTTTTTTTTTTTTTTTTTTTTCTTTCTCCCATTGCTGCAGGAATCTGCTACACCATTTTTGACTTGGGCTTCCGCTTTGATGTGGCCTGGTAAGGGAGGGCAGGGGAGGATTTCCCCTGGGAGCGGCTTCTCTGCAGCCTGCCCCCTGCTCTGAGCCCCCCACCCACACCCCTGGCTGCCTGGGTCATGGGCCTGTGGGGTGAGAGAGGGGAAGAAAGACTGGTTCTCTTCCATGTCTGCACACCAGGTTCCTGACCGAGACTTCCCCCTTCATGTGGTCAAACCTGGGCATTGGCCTGGCCATCTCCCTGTCTGTGGTTGGAGCGGCCTGGTGAGTGTTGGCTGGTGGGACTGGGGGAGGGGCTGAGTCATGGCAGGTGGTATCACTGGGTTCTTAGTCACGCTGGGGGCAGTGACAGCTTGGGCCTGCTGCTCAGTTTGTTACCCTTCCTCCAGGGGCATTTATATCACCGGCTCATCCATCATTGGGGGAGGGGTGAAGGCCCCCAGGATCAAAACCAAGAACCTGGTGAGGTAAGTGTGTGGGCTGTGGGAAAGTTGTCAGGACAGTGGGACCCGTGTGCCTGACCTGATGTGACTGCCTCTCGCCAGCCTCCTGCTGGAGTGGGTGTCAGTCTCTGGGGAGGAAGGTTGGTTTCCTTCTCATCTCTCCTCTTCACCCCCTGCTCCCACCCCTTCTGCCACCAGCATCATCTTTTGTGAGGCTGTGGCCATCTACGGCATCATCATGGCGATCGTCATTAGCAACATGGCTGAGGTATGGGGCTGGGTGGGGCTGGGCATCCATTGCAGTGTATTCTACACCCGGCTTAGGGATGGGGTGGAGGCAGCAGGGGGATCTCTGATTGCTTTTCTGCTTCCCTCAGCCTTTCAGTGCCACTGACCCCCAGGCCATTGGCCATCGGAACTACCATGCAGGTAGGTGGGAGACTGCGAAAGCAAGAAGCTGGAGTCTACACCTGCCTCCCCCTCTTAACTCCCACCTGCCTTGGCCGGCTTTGCAGTGTTGGGGTGGGGATTGGCCCTGTCAGCCTGTGTTGGGCCTGGCTTGGGCTCAGCGTGCCCCCTCTCCGTCCCCCCAGGCTACTCCATGTTCGGAGCTGGCCTCACAGTGGGCCTGTCGAACCTCTTCTGTGGAGTCTGCGTGGGCATCGTGGGCAGTGGAGCCGCCCTGGCCGACGCTCAGAACCCCAGCCTCTTTGTAAAGATTCTCATCGTAGAGATCTTTGGCAGTGCCATCGGCCTCTTTGGGGTCATCGTTGCAATCCTTCAGGTGCTGAACCCCCGGGAGCCGTTACACCCTTGCCCCCTTCTCCGCGACCACAGAGCCCGGGAGCAGCTCTTCCTCTTCCGCTGTTCTCTTCGGAGGCTTGCGCGTGTGCTTGTCTGAGCTGGTGTCAGGCCCACAGGCCTCCGCTCTGTTGCTTCATAGCTTTCCTGCGTCTCCTGTTACTTTGTGTATTTCCCACCTTCCTGTCAGCTGTCAATGGAAACACAGTTGATCTCCTCCCGTCTCTGCTGGGTTGGGGTCTTACCTGTGCGTGTACAAGTCTGTCTTGTGTGTGACTGTGTCTCTTATCCTGGGCATGCCTGTCTAAGTTGTGTGTCCTTGAAGTGACTAAGGGTTGGCCTGAGGATCTGAGGGTGGCTGTGGGTGCTTGACTGGTTGACAGCCCTGTCCGTCCGCGGCTTCTCTCTGTCCCTTAGCCTACCTCAGGCGCTGTGTGGCTGACCCTGTTCCTGTGTGTGTGTCCCTGAGTGTCCGTCCTGGACCAGTCCTCCATCTGTTGTAGTCTCTGCATGTAACCACGTGTCGCTGGGCTCTGGCGTTCCCACTCCTCTGGCCCTGCCTGACGTCTCCTGTTCTTCTTTTGCAGACCTCCAGAGTGAAGATGGGTGACTAGATCATCCGTGTGGGGGGCCGCGCCCCCTCTTATTTATTGTTGGTTTCCTGGGACAGCTGGAGCTGTGCCCTGTAGTTGTTCAGGGCGCCCCTGAACCCACCTCTCACTGCCTGTCACCTGGGAGGCCTCGCCCTCCAGGCTGAACCCTGTGTGGGGGAGTGGACTGCTGATGGCGACCGACCGTTCCTGCAGCCGTGCATCTGTGGCCCCCACTTCCACCTGTCACCCCGTCCCTGTGTTTGTGAAATAAACGTGATTGTCTGGGTTCCTTCTGCTTCCGTTACCCTCTTGCGCCGCCTTTCACAAAGGAAGGGTAAAATGGGCCCAGCACTCAACTCCCTGCCAGGCTCTGGGCAGCTTCTGACTCGTCCACACCTGCGTGCTCTGGACCTGGACAGACTACCTGCCGGGGTGGGGAGATGACGCCGCCTAGCCGATGGCCCCGAGCATCCAGATTGAAGGGGATGAGGGGGGCTGGGGGTATTGTGCCTGGGGCCTTAGTCCCTCATCACACACACACACACACACACACACACACACACACACACACCCGCCCGCCCCTGTGAGGCCTGGAGTCCATATCCCTGGCAGTTCTGTCCCACGGTCCCCCCCCAGCAGCCTCTATTCACCCCTGATTCCAGGGCCCAGCCCAGCTCCACCCATTCTGGACCCATGTCTGATTTTCTCCTAATCGTGCCCATCCTCCTCCAGTCCGCGACTTTAATAGAGTTCTATCCAGCCCGCAGCCGCCTCTCTGCCGGCGACCTTTAATCTTGCTCCCCCCAAGCAGCTTCAAGTCCCGGCCTCCTGCCTCCGTGCGCCCGACCTCCAGGGCCCCGGATCCTGGAGAGTCCGCGCTCCGGCTGCATCCCCACTCCCCGCGGTTGGGCCTCACCGTGCACCCGGCCCCGATCCGAGCCCCAAGCCAAGCCCTAGCTCCAGCTGGAATAACCTCCTACGCCCCTCCCTGGGCCGGCGACCCCCCGGTTCCCCGTGCGGCCGCCGGCAGGGGCGGCGCCGGAGCTGCGCGCGGCGGGTGCGGGTGCGGGCGCGCTGGAGGCGGGGGCCGCGGGGGCGCGCGCGCGGGCGCGGCGGCCGGGCCTGCCCCTCCGAGGCGCCGTAGCGCGGGAGGGAGGCGGCGGCGCTGTGGTCCGTCGGTCCGCGGGTCGGTGGGTCTGCCCGGCCGCCCGGCCCCGCCCTGCCCCCCGGGGCGGCTCGGCTCCATGGCCCGCGGCGGCGGCGGCGGCGGGAGGCGGCCCGGGGGCCTCGGGGGCCGCTGACCGGGCGGCGGGAGGCGGCGGGGCCGGGCCATGGGGGACGGAGCAGTCCGCAGCCGCCGGAGCCGGGAGCCCTGCCCGAGCCGGAGCGGCATCCCCTGCTGAGCCCCGAGCGCCGGGTGAGAGGAGGGCGCGCGCGGCCCCCCGCCCCGGGCCCCGACATTCCAGACCCGGCCCCGCGAGGGGCACCCTGAGCGCGGCCCCCGATCCCCTCCCAGGACCCGGTGAGAGAGGCGCCCGGCCTGGCTTCACCCCACCCAACCCCCATCCCGCAGCACCCCCCAGGCTCCTCCACCCGCCCCCAGCCAGCCTCCCTCATTGTCCTCGCCCGCCCCGGCCTCGTGGCGCGCGGAGGCGCTCCATCCACGTCGCCCCTTCTGCCGCGGCCCCCGCCTCACATGCACTCCCCCACCGTAGGCTCCACACCCACCCGGTCTTCGCTGCCTCCCCCGTCCCGGGGTGCCACGTGGGCAGCCTCCCAGCCGCGCCCAAGCGCTGCCCTCGCCTGGCGGCCGGGCTGACCCAGAACCCCTGGCCCCGAGGGAGGGGTGGGAATGCTTGCACGTGGGTCTGGGTGTGAGCTGCCCGGGAGCCTGCATGTGTGGCTGTGTAAGTCCAGGAGCAGCGGCTTTGTGGGTGAGTGTGTGACTCTGTGTGTTCCTGTCACCCGGGTGTGTCTGTAGTTTTGTGTGTCTGAGTGTGGGACCCACTGGCTGAGACCGAGGCGTCTGTGTGGTTCTGTGTACCCGGGAAAGACCCTGCTCCCTGGAGCTCTGCCAGAGGAAAGTGGCTGCCCTATTGGAACCACAGCTGGAGCAGTGGCCCAGGCAAGAGCCCTTCCAGTGGCCCCACCTCCAGGGCACAAGCCTGCCCATGCTGAGACTTGGAACCCGCTGTGCTGGCAGGCCTTGAGGTCTTGGGTGAGGGATGTCTCCTGCCCCACCCCTGTTTGACCTCTTGCTCCAGTGGGAAGGGATCCCAGAAACATCATGTCCCTATTTGGAGCCCCTGGGTGCTGAGGGCCTCTTCCCAGCCTGGTCCCCGTTGGCCTGGCCTGGCCCTGCTTGTCGCTGGGACTTGAATAACCAAACCACATGTCACCATGGCTCCTGCAAGGACCAAATGAAGTCATGAGTATAAAGTGCTCCTGCATGGTAGGTACTCAGTAAGAGGATCCTGTTCCTTCCCCCAGACGGGAGGCCCGGGTTGAGGCTGCTGCCCCGTGGAATGTCTGTTCTCTGGGGCACAGGTGCACATGTGAGTCTTTCGGTCAGCGTGTTCTCCTGGATAGGTGCTAACAGACGTGATCAGGGTTCCGGTGTCTGTGTTCCTGGGTCTCCCTGGATATGTGTGTGTGTAGTTGTGCAATAAGGGTGTATGTGTGCGGCTCAGTGCCCGAGGTGTGCCTGAAGCTGTGCACGCTGACTTGCTGGGGGCCATTGTCTGGGTGAGTCCTGCAGAGTCCAGGGAGGCGAGCAGGTAAGGGTGTGGAGCTGGGGCTGTGAGTAGGAGCAGCTGGGCGCGAGGGGGGTGGGCAGCCCCGCTCATGCCGCCCTGACCTGCCGGGTCTGCTTCTCTCCGCCCCTGCTCAGGCCAGCAGCTGGATGCCCGGGCCCGCTGGGCAGGCCGGCGGCCGCCTGCGGGATGAGCAGGCTGCTGGGGGGGACGCTGGAGCGCGTCTGCAAGGCCGTGCTCCTCCTCTGCCTGCTGCACTTCCTCGTGGCCGTCATCCTCTACTTTGACGTCTACGCCCAGCACCTGGCCTTCTTCAGCCGCTTCAGTGCCCGCGGCCCTGCCCGTGCCCTCCACCCGGCTGCCAGCAGCAGCACCAACTGCTCTCGGCCCAACGCCACTGCCCCCAGCTCCGGGCTCCCCGAGGTCCCCAGTGCCCAGCCTGGGCCCACAGCTCCTGTCTTGCCACCCTGTCCTGACTCGCCACCTGGTCTTGGTGAGCCTGTAGGGTGGGGCCTGCTCATAGGGTGGGGAGAAAAATCTTGACCAGCCGGGGTACTAAGGGTGCAGGTTTGTTGAAAGGGGGGTTCCCTTGCCCACCCCCCAACTGAGGACCGGGGCTGGTCTCCCTGGATTCTGGCGAAGACCCTAATCGCTCACATCATCCTGCCTGCAGTGGGCCGGCTGCTGATCGAGTTCACCTCGCCCATGCCCCTGGAGCGGGTGCAGAGGGAGAACCCGGGTGTGCTCCTGGGTGGCCGCTACACACCGCCCGACTGCACGCCTGCGCAGACGGTGGCTGTCATCATCCCCTTTAGACACCGGGAGCACCACCTGCGCTACTGGCTCCACTATCTACACCCCATCCTCAGGCGGCAGCGGCTGCGCTACGGCATCTATGTCATCAACCAGGTGTGCTGTCTGTGGTCCTTGCCTGGGCACCTGTCCCCCAGGGAGCCCCCACGCACCTGTGGGTGTACCTGCTCATAGGGGTGTGGGGACCCTAGTGCCTGCTGGTGCTTACATGGGTTGGGGCGGGGCTGTGTGTGGGCCCTGTTCTGCCCCAGATCACGTGGGTCTGTGAACGGACACAGGCATGGGGCAGGGGTCTGTGTTTGTCAGTGTGCACAGGAGTGGTGTGTGTGTGTGTGTGCACAGGAATGTTGGCGTGCACTCTGGCAGGTGTGTGCACAGCCTTCAAAGGGCCCAGCCCCATTGCCTTGATGAGCAGGCCCCACGCTGCAGTGGTGGAGGCCTGGGGGATGCTGATCAGGAGGTGCTCTCCAGGGCCCAGATGAGAGGGAGACTCGGCGGCCTCAGCTGAGGTCCAGGACTCAACCCAGGCTCTGAGCCCTGCTGTGGGCCTGGCTAGGGCCGGCCACTAGGACCCAGACAGGATCTGAGCAGGCCCTCCCCACCCCCACTGGAACCTAGATCCGTGGAGTCCACCAGCACGATGGGGTGTGACTAGCACTGGAGCTGGGGCCGTGAGAGCACCGAGGGACGAGTGGGGGAAAGTGTTGTAGTGAGAGGGACCCAGAGAATCTGGGGCCCAGCGAGAGAGCCGGGCCCGTGTGTGTGGGAACCGGCGATGAGGTGTGGGGTCCGATATGTAGGCTGGTGCAAAGGGAGCTGCGGGAGTTGGGGGTGGGTGGATTGAGGAGGGTCTTGGGACACAGGGTAGGCAGTTGGGCTCCCACCTGGAGGCAGTGGGCACCCCGTTCGCTCATTAGGAAGATTGCTCTGCTCATTTGTGGAGGATGGTGGGGAGGGGGCCTTGGGAGACCTCGTGGGGCTGAAGGTGCGTGTGAGAGGACAGGGGCTGTGGGATGAGGGTGAGGCGTGAGAACTGGAGACTTAGGAGAGCAACGTCAGGCCCACTCGCTCTCTCCTGGCCACTTGCTGCACCCCTGAGTCCATGCTCACACCTGGGTGCCTGCGGGAAGTGTCGGCGGAACACCCAGCAGGCAGGCAGACCTACACCCAGAGGGAACTCAGGGCAGAGGGCGGGATCCGGGCCACCGGCGGGTAGATGATCCCCCTACAGCCAGGGAGCACAGGCCGAGAGGAGGATGGAGAGAGCAGGGAGGATGGAGAGAGCCAAGGGCCACAGGGGCCGAGACCGGCGTGGCGGCATCCCCGAGGCCCCACCGTCAGCAGCAGGCAGGGAACGCGTGGCAGCTGCGTGAGCACTGTGGGCGAGCGAGGGGGTTGTGGCCCAAGAAGCGTCCAGTGGATTTAGCAACAAGGTGGGCCCAGTGAGAGCCATTTCGGGGGCATGGTGGGGGCGGCAGCAGATTGCAGTGGGTTGGAGAAGGAATTAGATTTGACAAAATGGAAATAACCGATCGGAGACAACTCGAACAAGTCTCTGCCGGAAAGGGAAGGCAAAGGTGGGGTGGCGGCTGGAGGGAGCTTTGCTCTTCTGCAGGGGGAGCTGAGCCTGGTTAGGAGCTGCACGGGAGACTGCAAGGACCTGTGTGGCGAGGGAGGTCAGCGAGGAATGCTGAGGAGCCGGGAGAAAGGGCAGGGGGAAGAGAGGTGCCAGAGAGGCAAGAGAAAGGGCTGGGGCTGGGCAGCTTCCCTGCCCACTCAGGCTCCGGCTTGGCTGGTGTCCAGGCGGGGCCGCCATTCTCCTGCTACGAAGGGCCTACTCACAGGCCCCTCCGTGGGGCCTCGCTGGTGGCAGGCTGGAGGCCGTGGGTTGGGGCGGGGCTCCGGGCCCACTGCCTGCCCCTTGCTCTGTCCAGTACTTGACGCTTCGTCCCACGTGGTCAGGATGTGTGCAGTCTCCTGTCTTGGGGAGGGGGAGCCCAGCCTTCCTAGGACGTGACTGCCTATAGGCCCCCTGCTTGTCATTTTGTTGGGAAGACAAGCAAGTGTAGCTCAGGCCTGTCTCTGTCTCCGATGTAGTTGGATGTGGCTTGGTGGCTCGGTCCCCGTGGCTCCTGCATCTTAGACGCTGGCCATCTGGGGCACTCATTGTTCATCTCGCTTCGTGACTATGTGCTCAGCAGGGACAGAGACCAGGGCTGCTCATCTCTAGAATCCCCACTGGCAACAAAGGCGAGGGCCACGGGGCATGTTTGATGAATGAGTGAATGAGGCAAGAGCTCTAAATAACAATTTGAACAGCCATAGGCATAAATGAAGCCCACGGGAGGGAATGAGTGATTATACTGGGGCCAGGTTGGCACGGTTGGGGGAGCCCGGCCAGAGAGGAGTCTGATGGGCAGGCTGGGGAGCTGCTAGCCCCAAGGCCTGCGGGCCAGAAAGAGTCCCGCCTCTTCTGCAGCTGCTGGCGAGTGCCGTGGATCTGAGGGCAGGGGCCAGAGGAGGCTGCAGCCGAATCCTGCAAGGCCCTTGAAGGCCAGGGCTAGGGTGGGAGGCTAGACTTGACCCGGGGAGCCTGGGGGAGCCCCGAAGGAGGGGAGGGGCCTAGGGACTGCTCTAGAGAATTGGTGAGGTGGCAGGTGGCTCCAGGCCCTGGGCCCAGAGCTGACCTGTCCCCTGTCGCCACCCCAGCATGGTGAGGACACCTTCAACCGAGCCAAGCTGCTCAACGTGGGCTTCCTGGAGGCGCTGAAGGAGGACGCTGCCTATGACTGCTTCATCTTCAGTGACGTGGACCTGGTGCCCATGGACGACCGCAACCTGTACCGCTGTGGCGACCAGCCCCGCCACTTCGCCATTGCCATGGACAAGTTTGGCTTCCGGTGAGGCCGTCTGCTCGGCTAGACCCAGACTTCCCAGTCTCTGTGCCTGCTGGCCCCTCGGTCCCCATCGTGCCCTTCCTCGGGTCCTGCACCTTGAATCCCTCGGGGACCCTTACTGACACCTGCCCTCCCGTGCCACAGGCTGCCCTATGCTGGCTACTTTGGAGGCGTGTCGGGCCTGAGCAAAGCCCAGTTTCTGAGAATCAATGGCTTCCCCAATGAGTACTGGGGCTGGGGTGGTGAGGATGACGACATCTTCAATCGGTGAGTAGGGGTGGGATGGGGAGCAGGAGGGGCGGGGGAGGGGGGTGGTGCAGACCGGGTGGTGCTCCGGGCCCTGCCCGATACCTGCTCCAGGCTGCCTGTCCCTGACCTCAGGATCTCCCTGACTGGAATGAAGATCTCACGCCCAGACATCCGCATAGGCCGCTACCGCATGATCAAGCACGACCGGGACAAGCATAACGAGCCCAACCCTCAGAGGTGACCGCCAGCTCCCCTGACCCCAGAGGCCCCTCAGCCCATGCTCTCCAGGGGCCCTTCCTGTGTCCCCAGGTCTTGATCGTGAGTGCCCCTGGTTCCTGACACCCTGGCCTCCAAGGTGACTTCCCAGTGCCATTGGTCCCCAGAGAGGTCCCCAAGGCCCCTGGCCTCTGACTCCTGGAGATGCCTCCAGGCACCTCAGATCCCTGTCTCCCACCTCCCATCTCAGCCTCAGCCCCAAATATCTCACCCCAGCCTGGTTCCAAGAATTGAAAGCCAGGGCTCAAGATGTCATTGAGTAGATCGCATTCCCCCGGTGCACCTGGGATGATCCCTGCTTTTACTGACCCTGCCTGAGCACACAGGACAGAAATAGTGGGTGCTGAGCACAGCTCCCGGGGATCTGACCGAGGGAGCCCCAGCAGGCGGGGGCGAGGAGTGCAAATACAGCACCAGCCTCCCTGAGGTTGGAGGAGGCGGCAGCTGTGTCTCCTACAAGGTAGCCACATTCTAGGTCCAGGACTGGCTGGGAGAAGGGACTGAAGGGCACGTGCAGTTAGACAAGGGCTTTCCTGCTGCTTCTCTCTGACTAGTCCCACACTGGGGCAGGGGACTCCATGATCCTACGCAATACCTGCTGTCCCACATGCAGTTCGCCCTAGGTGGGCCAACAGGTATAGAAACAGGCGCTCACAACCCAGCGTGATCAGAGCAAGGTGCTGTTCTGGCAGAAAAGGGAGTGATGGTGGGAGGCTTCCTGGAGGAGGCAATGGTAAACTGGAGTTGAATAAGAGCTATTCATTCAACAGATATTTGCCTCATGCCTGCCTTGGGCACAGTGCTGTTATGTTTGGAGGAGGCCAGGGTGAATAAAGGGGGTCTCACTGGCAAGCGTCGGGTGTGAATGTGCGTGCTAGGTACTCACCGAGGGTCTCCAGCTCTCTGGCTTTAAGATCTCTGAAGTCTGGGCATTCCAGGAGGGGGCAGTGCTGGGTGCTGGGTGGGGGTGGGGGTCTTAAATACCAGTTTCCTTCTTGTCCTGGAGGCACTGGGAAGTTGTGGGAGGGTCTTAGCAGGGAGGGGCAGAATCAGATTTGTAGTTGGAAGGCTCACTCTGAGTTCCAGGAAGGTGAGGAGCTGACCTGGCTGCTGGGTGGTGCAGGAGAGGGAAGTGGACTGGGCCAGAAGGAATCGCTGGACCGGGAGGGGGCAGGCTGCGGGGAGGCGGGGTTGTGGTGGCCTCAGCTTGGACAGTGAGGTTTTTCTGCCCTGAATGCAGGATGTAGGGGTGGAGGCAGTACTGGGCAGAAGCATGAGGCACTGGGAGGCCAGGGATCTGATAAAAGAGAAGTTCAGATAAAAACCATGGTCAGCAGGGAAGGAGTGGTGGACTGGGAACAGAGGCATCTGATGGAGAGTGCCTAGTGCCAGGAAGGCGCTGGGGAGGGGTTGAGCCCAGCTGGGATGAGAGTGGGAGTTGGAGCTCTGCAAGTACATGCCAGGAACCTTGCTCCTTGTCTGGGTGCCATCATCAATTAGTAATGTCTGCCTTGGGCGTGGAAATGACAAGTGGCAAGCAGTTTGTGGTTTAAAGAACTCTGGATGGTAGCTCTGTCTAGCTAGTGGCTTTTTCCCCCAACCTAGGAGTTCTCCTGGATTCTTCTTTCTCTTACTCTACATGTCCAGACCATCAGCAATTCACGTCACTTCCTCCACCAAAACATATTTGAGCCCATCCATTTCCCCCCTTTATTATCTTTAACGCTAGTCTGACCTCTGACCTCGCCTGGACTCCCACAGGGGCCTCTGCTCGTTCCCTTTGACCTTCTGTGGTTTATGACACTCCCTGCCCCCCCTACACCGAGTTAAAAAAAACCCTCGCCTTCTCACTTGCAAACTGTGCACTGCTTACCGTGACTTCCAGAGCTCTGCCCATCATCCGTGTGAACCTCCAGGTTCATTGCATCTTTATTTTTCGCATCTGTCCCCAAGGTGTAGCCACACAGCTATGCGAAATCCTACCCCAGTGTGGGGTCTGCAGTGCTCCGACCTCTGCCTGGAATGCCCTTTGCCCCTCCACAGCTCATGTCACACCCCCGCCTCCTCTGGCACAGCCATCCTGTCCCCTTAGCTCTTTAAGGGTTTCCTTGTCGGTTTAGCTGGTTAGCCGTCTCCGCTGCCCGCCTGTTCATGACCGTGCCCCCTAGTGCTCAGACCACAGGCTGGCACATCGGAACACTCAGGAAATGGGTGCAGAGGGAGTCACTGAAGGCTGGGAGCAAAGAAGGAGTGGGAGTGCAGCCGGCACGTCTGACATAGGGCACGTAGGGTGCCCTAGGGCACGTTGCACTTGAGGTGCCTGTGGGTCAGCTGGGGTCTGCATCTCAGGTGTGGGAGGAAGGTCTGAGTGGAGAGATTTGTGAGGGTGTCACAATCCTGTGTTCTGACTATGGGGGATGAGATGTCTGTTTTGGGGGTGCAAACCCAAGCACACAAAGGGACTCCTGGCAGATCACCCCGGAAGGAGCGGGCTGGCCCGGGCCTGGCCCTGGAGAGTCCACGCTGGACTTGGTGGTTATAGCTCTGACGCGCATCCATTCGTATCCCCACTAGGTTTACCAAGATTCAGAACACGAAGCTGACCATGAAGCGGGACGGCATCGGGTCCGTGCGGTACCAGGTCCTGGAGGTGTCTCGGCAGCCGCTCTTCACCAACATCACCGTGGACATTGGACGGCCCCCCTCATGGCCCCCCCGGGGCTGACACTGATGGACAGCGGCTCTTGGCGTCAAGGATTGCCCGCCAGAGGACTGACCTCAGCCTGGCCAGCAGCCGCTCGTGGGGGACCCCCCAGGACTGAGGATCTTCAGCGGCACCTGGAAGCTTCAGAACCCACTTTGGGGTGCATCCGGCCTGGGCAGGCCCCTTCTTCCTGCCCCACTCCCCCCAACCCAGCCCCCCTCACTGTCAGGGTCGGGCCAGCCCCTGCACTGCCTCGCGGAGTGGCCTGGGCTAGGTCACTTCACCTCTCTGTGCCTCAGTTTCCCCCCCTTGAGTCCCCTAGGGCCTGGAAGGGTGGGAGGAATGACTAGAGGGCAGTGTCTCTTCCAGGGGGAATTCTCAGACCTGGGGATCCCCCGTGCTCCCAGGGGCGGGGAAACCTTTTTCACTCAACATTGCAGGGGGCAAGCTTTGGTGTGCCCCCTGCTGAGGAGCAGCCCAGGAGGGGACCGGAGGGGGTTCTGTGTCGCTGCCTGGGATCCCTGGGTTGGCCTTTGCACGGGGCGCAGGCAGGGCTTGGATCAGCCAACCTGGTTCCTGTCTCCCGGTCTCAGAGAAGAGGCGGTGGCCCCAGGGCCGGCTCGTGTTTGTATATTGCACAGAAACTTGTGTGGGTGCTTTAGTAAAAAACGTGAATGGAGCAGCCCCCTTTGTCTTTTGGGGGATAGGGACCCTGACCCTAGTCACCCCAGGTGGGTTGTGATGAGAGTATGCCTGGCCCCACCTGTCAGCTCGGCAGGGCTGGCCTGGTTCTCCCTCCACTCACTAGAATGCACCGGCCTTAGGGGAAGAAGTGTAAGTGTACTGGGCCCGGATTTTATTTCTTCCATCGGCCCAGAGTCCGAAAGGCGCCGGAAGAGGAGCCCCGGGCGTTGGGAATCCTGGCTCGGTGCACGGTTCCCATCGCAGGCGTCGCCCGCTCGCCGGATTCCAAGAGCCTGGGGCGGGGCCTGCCGGGGCGGGGCCTGGGGCCGCGGCGCGGTTTCCCGGGTGACGGCCGCGGCGAAGAGGCGGGGCTAAGGCCTCCCTTCCCACTGGCGGCTCCTAGGGGCCGTGGCCGGGAGTTGCGGACTCCGAAGAGTCTGTCAGAAGCCGGGCAGGTGACTAGGGGCTGCGGGCAGGGTAATTCCAGCTGCAGGGGTCAGGGGCGGGGCCTGTGAGCCGGAGGATGGGGCTCAAGTGGGCGGGGGTGGGACCCGGGCGGGACCCTGGAGACGTGCGGAGCCCGAACCCGCTGTCCCACAGGTGTGAGCGGGCGGCAGTGGCGCGGGCCGGCCATGCCCCGGGACTTCTTGTCGCTGTGGGAGCTCGTGGAGGAGCACGTTCCGCTCCCGGAGCGCCCCGAAGTGAAGAGGGTTCTGGGGGAGGCGGCGGTGGACCTGAGCCTGGAGCTGCGGGCGGAGGTGGGGAGCGGCGAGTGGGCCACGCCCCAGGCTTGCCCACGACTGGGAGGTTTCCCGTCCGCTCCGGGTTTGTGGCGCCGCCCGGTGATCCTGAGGCCTTGGCGGGCCCCCATGCCTACCCGTGCCCTCTCTGGCCTGCCTACGCCCCACCTCTCACTCCCCCCACCCCTCCGTCGCCTCACCTGGCTGCCCAGTCGCGAAGTTTCCCAGCTCTCCTTGCAGGTGGCGATGCTGCGGGCACTGCTCCAAGAGGCTCGGTCCTCCCGAGTCCCTGGCTCCCACCCCATCTCTGACCCTGCCTCCCTTCTGGCCCCGCCGCCCCTCCTGCGGGAGCTCGTGCGCCAGGAACTCCGGCAGCTGCTCCAAGGTCTCCGCCACAAGGCCATCTGCGAGGGCAGGTGGGAGCCTCTGGCCTTGGTCCCCTCCCCAGACATCAGATGGGCTAGCCCGGCCCCTGACAGGGAGCGGCTGGCCCTCCTGTGGTTTCCTTTGGGTTCCCCTTCTGCAGGGACCAGGCGCAGGCTTGGGTCCAATATAGCCCCAGAGTCCTGCGCTTTGCCTTGGAGGAGCCCAGAAGTGATTTGCCAGAACAGGAAACGTTGCAGCTGAGAGCCACTGAGCCCAGGTAAAGTGGCAGTGGAAGAGGAGGGATCCGTCCCTTCTTGGCAAAGGGCCCAGCCAGCTGGTGGGCCCCCCTGGGCTCCAGGGAGGAGCTCCCAGTTGGGGGCTGGACAGTTTCACCACCACTTGTGATAGGGTTCAGCATAGGAGGGCTGTGGGAGCCCAGAGCAGACACCTGCCCATCCTGGGGGCAGGTAAGTCTTGCTGGAGAAAGTGCCTGTGCTGATCTGGGTTTCAGAGCGCAAGGAGCAGCTTCCCGGGGAGATGGGAGAGAGCAGAGCTTCGCAGGAAGCATGAGGTCAGGAGGCCGTGTCCAGGGGGCGGTTGTTCCTGGGGCCTAGAGCTCCATAGCGAGGTGAGGCGAGAGGGCCCCAGGCGGTGTTCACAGGAGTGAGGCCGCCCCAGAGCAGTGGCAGCAACTTCTCAGCCTAACCCTCTCGCAGCCCTGTGAAATGGGCCACATCCCGTTTTTGCAAGTGAGAAAACCAGAGGTCAGGCAGGAAGCACAAAGGCCAGCGTGCAGGTACAGTGAATTCGCTGCCACCCGCAACGCCTGCATCCCGTATCCGAGTGCCAGTTGGAGTCCCAGCTGTTCCGCTTCTGATCCAGCCTCCTCCTAATGCACCTGGGAAACCAGAGGTTGCTGCCACCCACGTGGGAGACCTGGATGGAGTTCCTGGCTCCTGGCTTCAGCCTGGCCCAAACCTGGTTGTTGCCATTTGGGAGGATGAACCAGTGGATGGAAGATATTCCCCCCCCCCCCCCAGCTGTCTTTCTAAAGTCACTCTGCCTTTCGAATCATCTTAAAAAAAAAAAAAGTTACCCATTTGCCCAAGGTCACACGCAGTAAAGGATAGCAGAGCACATTTGCAAACCCACAGAACTGCTCTGTGCTATTATGTTGCCTTTGTGAGAAGAGACCAGAAATGATCTAGGAGAAGTAGGGTTTGTGTCCTGAAGGCCTGGGCGGGTGACATGGGCAGAGTGATGGTGACTTCATCTGCCAGCAGCAGTCACAGGGACATCAGCATCATCAAGGACCAGCTGAATGTGTGCAACATTGACCAAGTTGCTGCACACTTGAGGTGAGGCCCAGGGACTCCTGAGTGTATGCTGGTGGTGGATCTGGAGGTGCTGGAACCGAGAGGAGAAGGGAGGCGCCCGGGAGATGCGTGTACGGGAGGGGTCTCATCCCGACACTGGGTGGGGGTGGGGGTGGGGGCACAGCGGGTTTTAAGCAGGGCAGGGCAGTGCTGTGAGGGAGGACGGAGGCAGGAGAGTTGTAAGTCCAGGGCACCTGTGCGGGAGAGAGGGTGGTGCCTGCCAGGGTGGGAGCTGTGAGAGGGAGGTGGGTCAGGAGACTGCGGGAGCAGCACCCAGGCAACAGGGGGCACTGTGAGCTGAGGGGGCATTATGGGGGCTGCTGGTAAGGCTGGAGGTTGGGGCGTGTGCTGGGCTCCGCGGCCCTGTGGCCCTGGTTCTGGCTACGGTGATCTCGTGTCCCAGGGGCCTCCTGGAGGAGGAGTGTCGCAACTTGGAGAGAGAGATCCCCATCCTGCAGGTGAGCTGCAGCCCTGGGCCTCCCCCAGGTGCCCCGGCTGGGCATGGAGACCCCCACTTCTCACAGGCACACACGTGTGGGTGTGGGTAGGAGAGATCTGGAAGGCCAGCATCCAGCCCGCAACTTTAGGTTGACCTGCAGGATTTGCCCCAGGTCTTTGCCTCCTTCCCTGAGCCAAGTCTGGCACAAGCCCCACCACCACCTCGCCAAGCTGGGCTCCTTGGCAAGGCTGAGGGGGTTCCTGCGGGGCCCCGGCCCCCCAACACCTGCTCTCATGCTGGGGTCCTGAGCCCTTTGTCCCCGCAGCACTGCCTGGAAGAGGAGCTTGCGCGGGCCTGCCAGCCCTCCAAGGCAGCCCTGGAGCCCACCCTGGCAGGTGAGGCCCTGAGCAGGCCCTCCCCCGGCTCCCTGCCCTGCACCCCTCACACATGCTAGAAGAGGCGAGCCTGTGCCTCAGCTCCCTGTCTCTCTCAGAGCTAAAGGAACAGAAGAAGGCCATGGAACGGGAGCTGCAGCTCTCCCTGGAGCCTCCCCGAGTCTCCCCCAACCACAGGTAGACCAAAGCAAGTGGCCAGTGGGCAGAGTGGGCTGAGTGGTCGGGCTGCCAGCCCTCACCGTGACTCCTGCCTGTGCAGGCGGCTGTCCCCGGAGCCCTCCAGTCGGTGCCACGGGCCCTGTGCTCCGCTCCGCAGCGCTGGTGCTGGGGGCGTGCAGGCTGTGCCTCTCCAGGGTCACCTGCCCACGCCACCTCCGGAGCGCTGCCCACGACCCCGAGGCCAGGCCACCATCCGCCGCTGGGGACGGCAGCTTCAGTGCAGTCCCAGGCCGCAGCCAGCTTCCACACCAGTGTCCAGCGCAGCACCCCAGGCCTCAACCTGAAGGGCTGGCCACAGAGCAGCCTTCGGCTTGGGCCACACTGCCCCGACCGCTGCTGCTGCCCCCTAGCTGCCAGCGCCAGGTCGCGCTTCTCAGGAGCGCCCTCACCAAGCCCCCCCAGGCTGTTTGTGTGCCTGCTGGCCCTTGCCCCACCCCCACCACATCCCTGGTGCCCAGGCCTGCGTGGGATAGCCATCCTAACTGCCGTCACCTTTGGCCCTTCTCCCCTCAGGCCTCGGTGAAGGCCTGGCAGACAGAGGTCCCAGCCCAGCCCTGACTCCTGGCCCCCCAGGAGACCCGGACAAAGCACAGCAGCAGCCCAAGACAGGAATAGAAATTTCATTAAAACCTATGGACTTTAAAATCCTAGTGGTGCACGGTGGCGGGGTGGGGGCACCGTTATTGCTACGGAGGATTAGAGGCGGCTTGGCCGGGCTGTCACTGCACGGAGGACATGGAGGACGGACAGACGGACACTTTGGGGCCTGGGGCTCTGGCTCCGGAGAGGCATGGGGGCACACGAGCTGGGGCCATTTGGCACGTGAACAAGGGCAGCTCACCGGGGAGGGCTGGGCCTTCAGCCTGGGGGAGGGAGGAGGGCAAGGGGTGTTGTGCAGGTCCCCTTCCCCAGGGGTCTGGGCGCCAACCTCCTGCTGAGCAGCTCCCAGCCCTGCCCCCAGGAACAAGTGCTTTGGGCAGGCTGCTGGACCCTGGCCTCTGCTGGCTGGGCCTGACAGCCAGGCCTGGAGTGCGCGCCGAGAGCCCAGAGCAGCCGAGTGAGGTGCGAGCAGGCCTGGAAGACAGACTGGCCCCGGCTTGGGGCGAGGGGCGGCAACCACAGGTCATACAATGTTTACAAAAATAATTACACAGATACTGGGGGCTGGGCCATGGAGCCCAATGAGGAATGCCGTGCAGCCTGCAGCCCCTCGCCCGCTCCCATGGGAAAGCCCAGACTCGCCTGGGCAGAGGCTGGGGCTGGCTCGGAGGGCAGGAACACTGGTCACGAGGCCGGAGGCCCAAGGAAGGGGTGAGGTGGGGGGGCCACCCAGACCTCAGCTCAGAGCAGAGCGAGGGGGCTTCAGAGGCCATGGGAAGCCTGCCAGGCCTCTGGGGACCTGGCCTGAGACCCCCTCCAAAGTGCTTTGGCCCTCTACCCCCGGCAACTCTCCCATCGCCCCCTTCCCCCAGCTGCCGTCTTGGCATCCAAAGGACGTGTAAACACTGGGGACACGAGCACGAATGACCGCGCTATCAGTGGTGGCCAAGGTGACAGCAGCCGTCCTGGCCAGGGCGTGGCGGGGGCAGGCAGTGACACCTGTCCACAGCCTCCCCAGTCTCTGTGGTGGGAGCGCGGGGTGGGGGTGGGGCCACTCCCCTGGAATCTGCTCATATCCGGGAGTCCTGGAGGCGGCTGGAGCCGTTGCTGCCCACCATGGGGATCTGGGCCTTGTCTGGGTGTAGCGGCTGGACCTCGAACCCGTCTTCGGGAGAGGGGGTGATGGTGGGGGCATAGCGCCCAGTCCGGTGCTCCAGGAGGGCAGGGCCCCAGTCTCTGCTTGGCTTTGTGGCATTTTTCAGACGCTGCACGGGAGGCGGGCATGGAGCATGGAGCGGGGGCAGGGAGGGGGGAGGTCAGGTCTGAAGGGAGCCCTTCTGCCCCATCCATCCACCCTTCCTATTCCACGCGGCCGCCCAGCCTGCCCCCTGCCCTCACCTGGACGAGGGTGTCCCCATCCGTGCGGCAGAGCTGGAACAGGGCATAGAGCGGGATGCAGATGACCGAGGACAGAGCCATGAGGAAGCCGATGACCACTGCCCAGCCTGGGTACTGGTAGTGGTTGTAGGTGATTGGCTGGTACTGGATCACCGTGAAGATGAGAATGAACTGCAAGGGAGGTGGGGCGTGAGCAGGAGGCGCCCCCACCCCCCCACCCAGAGCCACTCTCAGGGCCCAGGCCGTCCCTCCTCGAAGCCCTCCTTCCTCTCCAAGCAGCATCTGGGGGCAGGGCAGAGACGACTGTCAACTCGAGGGCGCTGGGAGAAGCTAGGGCTCAGGGCATGGTGGGCAGGTGGGCACCGTGGAAGGGAAGAGGCCTGTTTTCACCATCGTCCTGAGCCGGCCAGAGAATGCTCAGTCAACAATATGACTTTATGAGCTTTATGACCTGTGGCTCCCTGCTGCCTACTGACGGGAAAGCCAGCTCCCTGGCCTCTCGGCTTTCCACCGGGCAATGCGGAAAGACGCAGGGAGTTTTCCACGTCACTCCTGCTCGGCGCTCAGTCACTCCCAGCGTTCCCTACCCTCTGTTTATTCGGGGGAAACATCCTCTTGTGTTCCTGTCAAAGCCTGTGCCACGGCCACCTCCTCCTGAAAGCCCCTCTAGGTTTCCCCTTTTGGCTCTCAGCTCCCCCGGCACTTCCCTTCCTCGGCCCCTAGAACTGCTTTGTCTCCTGTTTCCCACAGGCCAGGCAGCTCCCAGCACCATGTGCACTCTGGGCCTCCAGCGCCCGGCACAGTGTCCCCACGTTCCCATTTGTTGACTTGAACTGACTTGTAGGAGAGGGAGAGGAGAGGGCCCTGCCTGCCTGTGGCTGCGCAGAGTGACCTGCGGCCCGTAGAGGCCCTGGATGGAAGTGGTGCCTGTCAGACCACTAGGGAAAGAGACGAGTGAGATGGGGAATAAAATCTGCAGCCGGGGCAGTGTCGTGGCACAGAGGGGGAAGCCTCTTCTTGGGAGACACGCATCCCATATGGGAGTGCCAGTCCGAGACCTGGCTGTTCCAGCTTCCTGGAAGGGCAGCGGATGATGGCTCAAGTGCTTGGACCCCTGTTAGTTCCAGAATCCTGGCTTCAGCCTGGCCCAACTCTGGCCGTGTGGGCATTTGGGGGAATACACCAGTATATGAAAGATCTTTCTTTCTGTTTGTCTTTATCTCTCTCTTTTGCTCTGCCTTTCAAGTAGATGAAAATAAATAAACACTTAAAAAAAATTAGCTAAAACCTGCAGCTGCAGCAATAAAAGAGGCAAAGGGAAGCAGAGACCGGGCAGGGGGTCGGCACCCTGAGAGGGCCTGGCTGTGTGTGCCTGGGCTTGCCGAGCCTTCAGCTGTGTCCTTCTGTCTTCCTTAGGGGCAAATCCTAGAAGGCATGGCCCTTGTCTAACTGGGATGCTGCCCATAGTGGGAGCTTTATGACCAGGTTCCTGAATGGGGTGGACCCTGACTGAGGTGTGGGCAGAGCGCTTAGCTGAGCTGAAGGAAGGATGGAGTTTGTCCTAAAGAGCCCTGCAGGGATGGGACACAGGACAGGGCCGGCGCTGTGTTGAGGAGAGCGAAGCCGCTGCCTGTGATGCCGGCATCCTGTATCAGAGCCTCGGTGGAGTCCCAGCTGCTCTGCCTCCCATACAGCTCCCTGCTACTGCCCCTGGGAAAGCAGCGGAAAACAGCTCAAGTGCTTGGGCCCCTGCTACCCATGCAGGAGACCTGGATGGAATTCTGCCCTTTTTTTTTTTTTTAAAGATTTATTTATTTGAAAGGCAGTGTGACAGAGACAGAGAGAGACAGAAAGAGAGAGAAAGACTTTTCCAGCCACTCCCCAAATGGCTACAAAGGCTGGGGTGGGGCAAGGCCGGGCCAAAGCAAGGAGCCTAGAGCTTCATCCATGCTTGTCAACTGCAGCTGGTTTTCCAGGCACATTAGCAGAGAGCTGGCTCAGAAGTGGAGCAGCTCGGACACAAACCACCATATAGGATGCCAGCACTGCAGGCAGCGGCTGAACCCACAGCACCACAATACTGCCCTGCTGCCCTTCAAATAGGTAAAATAAATCTTTAAAAAAAAATGATAACATGACAGTGCAGAAACAGAAGTGTCCCCATTGCCTGGCGCCCTCCCCTGCAGGTAGCCGCAGCCTGGCTTCCCTGGGCACAGACAAGGCCTTGCCCATTTTGCCTCCATCTCCTGAGGACCCCAGACCCAGGCCGAGCTGACTCTGCCAACCCTTCTGATGGCCGTCCTTCCTGTCCCCTGCTGTGGCAGGTGCCCCAGGTCTGTCCCCAGGGCAGCAGTGTGCTCTGAGTGCCAGGAGCACCCCCTGTAGCTGCGGAGGCTGAGCTCCTCACCCCACTGCAGGCCAGGGCCCCCCCCCGCCCTCGCTGACCTCCCACCCCTGTTTCAAAGCTGGGCCGGTGGCCAGAGCTGGTGCCTGGGCCAGGCCGGGGGATACCCCACACCCTCTGTGCCGGAGGCCCCTGTCCTACAAGTGCCCTCTTTTGTAGAAACACGAGCCGGCGAGGACATCCAGGGCTACACTCTGCAGTGGACCACTCAGGTGGCCCTGCTTGTACCATCAAATCCCCCCAAACAAAACGAAGCAAAATCAGATGATTTGTAGCCTGCTTTCCTCAGGGTGGTTCCCAGGGCAACCCTGGCCCCCAGCAGCTCCAGCCGGGCCACCTGCTCTGAATTGGGGCTCTGCTGCTTATTAGCTGTGTGGTCAGTGACTTAACAGCCCCGTGCCTCAGTTTCCTCATCTGCAAAATGGAGGCAGTTATACCTCGGAGAGTTGCGTCACATACGTTAATACACAAATAGTGCAAAAAGTGCCCAGGTCCCTGCATGGGGGGATTCCTTCCACTGATTTAGCTGCAGCTGAAGCCGGGAACTCCCTCCCACCCCTGCGGCACTGCCCCCATGATAGCTGGCATCTGACTCCTAGCATCTTCGGGTCTGGGGTGGCCCAGCCCTCGCGCTCACACCACATCCACCAGCTCATGGCACAACTCCTCTGTGAGGGGCTGGGGGCAGCACAGGGAGCTGGACAGTGACAAACGCAAACTGGTCATGCCTGGCGAGGGGGAGGCCCGGCTCCCCACGATGCTACCAGCTGCTCCCACCCCAGGGCCTGGAAAGGTGGGACTCAACACTCCCTAATGCAAGGCCAGGGCCTGCGAATCTGAGGGTCACATGCCTGTCTGGCTCTGTCCAACTGGCTCCCTCGCAAAGGCCAGCTGGGGGCGCTCCTGCTCTCCCTGCACGGGGTCCCCAGGGAAGGCCACTGGGAAACTTACGAAGATGATGGCTGGAGAGACAAAGCGCCAGCAGATCTGGAAGAAGAGGGGCGGTGGGAATCCCAGCATCATCTGGATGTCCTGGAAGTAGTTGCGGTGCCCTGGACGAGAGGGTGAGTCAGCGGGCCCCCGCAGGCCAGCGGGGGAGGCCAGGGCAGGCACAGGGCAGGCCACGGCACTCACCGTAGATGTACATGATGGACACGCACATGATGCAGGAGATGACCACCAGGGAGAAGCTGGCTGCATAGTTGTCCATCAGCAGCAGCCAGTAGATTCCTGCCTGTGAGCC